ATATATATATATATATATATATATATATATATATATATATATATATATATATATATATATATTAGAGATGTGCGAATCAAAGATTTTTTATGTCAAATCAAATCTCAAATTTATATTATATACATATGATATATCTATATACGGAAACAAATTATTTATTTAAAAGAAGAGAATATAGATCCTTTTAAATGTAAAAAGTATGTTTAAGAAATATGTAAAAAGTCTATTTAAAAAGTATTTATTTGTTTTAAAAGTAAGTAAAATACAAATACAAATAAATTATTTTGTAAATTTAAATAAATTGTTTTCTGATAATAAAAGAAATATTAATTTGAAACATATAAAAAGATACTTTTAATATTAGAAAACAATTTATTTAGATTTATAAAATAATTTACTTGTACTCTATTTACTTTTAAAAGAAGCAAATATTTATTTAAACATAGTTTTTACATTTAAAAAAATTAATTTTCTTCTTGTAAAGAAATTATTTTTTTTCTATAAATTCATAATTTTATGTACCTTTCGTCATATTAATTTTTTAACGTAACATAATAACGACAGTTGCAAAAATATATCTACGTATGTGTTAGTTTCTACGGGCAGTAATAAATCTCTTAAACTAGGGAATCATGATTGTCTAATGCCTGGTTGAATCTTATTATTCTTGAATGACAAGATATAAAAGCAATCTCGGAAGCATAAATAGGAGAATATGTACGGTACTTGATGTCATTTAGAACGCATAGCTCGTTCGTGAGTGTCGCGTATTAAATCGTGTTAATGCTATTATCAATAGTCTACAAGTGTCTTTTGCGACGGTGATAGTGAATTGCTAAACATGAAACTTGATTATCAAGTTCTACAAGATTGAAGAAAACACGCCATATTACACATATTTCTTTCTTAGTGATTTATTTCATTTTGATATTAATCTAAATTCTCAATTTCTGGGAAACGAATTCTGTATTCATAGATCCATTTATAAGTTTTAGAATGATGTGCGCATTTGTCACCAAGTAAAACAACTAGGTATGTTTCTGAATCTACACTTACACATTAAAACATTTTAACATATACATGTAAAATCATCAAATACAATATTTGTATAAAAAGATTTCAGCAATTATAGAATATAACTGTTAATATAATATATAACATAGAAGTTTAACATCCCAGGCAGCAACGTAACATGATTTTTACGTCAGTTTTTGGTCATTCGTGACGTCAATTATCCTTTTATAATCACGTAATAATGATGATAACGATGAATTTAATAATCACGTGGAAATGACCGGAATAAGTCACAGTCTACCGACGTCAATAATAAAACGTGAAAATAACGTCATAAAGAGACGTAAAAATGACGTGTCGGAATATCCTTATTCGGTTTCTATTTTATAAACTACTTGTAAATGTCACAGCGTTTGCTGATTTTATTTAAAAATTTTAATTACTTTTTTGATTCCAATGTTACATCACATTTAAAAATTTTCACTGGCACTGAGACTCGAACTTGGACCATGAGGCATCCTTGGATTATGAGTCTGTTGCTTAGACACTACATCATTTCTTCAATCGATATGAACGCCTTACATTTTATCTTTATGTGTTATACTTAACACAGTATAATATAATTTTTTGATAATATGATTTAATAAAATGACTTAATTTTAATAAAAATTATATTTTTCATACTTTATTGTTAATTTAACTTCTAGTTTTCTCTAATGAGGTGAGGTCTACAAAATTCCATATATTCCATTTCGTTATCTTTAAATTTTTATAGTAAACATTTTTTTATTGTTAACTGTTATTAAATAAACAAAGTCATAAAAGACTATAAACTTTGAGTAATAGTAAAAGAGTATTTAAAAAAGAAAAAATCCACCTTACCATTTAAGATTTAATTAAATTAACACAGATAGCCAACTATCTGTGAGAATTCTCTATGATCTTCTATTCATCTCTGCGCTATCTGGGTCAACATTTTCTCATTAACACATCTTTGAACATCATCCTCCTAACTGCATAATTGCAACGATGTAATGCTCGTGAGTAAGAAATGGTAAGACAAGTTCTATGAGGCTTATTCTTAGGAGTGAAATACTTGAGATGCAAGCACGTAAAAAATAACAATATAAATAAATAACGTGTATAAATAATAATCCAAACCATGTAAAGCGAATGTAAAATTAAATCTAACAGATTGACGTGGCCCGACAGTCAAATTACCAGACTCAACAAACATGATTTGTTGAAATGTTTGTATAATTCATAAGTGTGGTTCATAAGCTTTTCAATGCGACTTAAGCGATGTTGATTGAAATTACGTTTATTGTATTACATTCATCACTGTATACATTGTATCACTGAAGAGAGTCCGAAACTTGGACCAAAACGTCTGAATTTTTTGTAAATACAAATCAATGCATTGGCTTTTGTTAAATTGAGAATTTCGCCATTATAATCAGTGGTTAGCTCTTATTTGCCTTATTCTTTGTTTGTTTTTATTGTCGTCTCAAAAGTTTTTAACTTTTTAATTTTTCAGGTGTAACTTTTGGCAATTTCACCAACGACTTTAAATAAATCGCTTTAAATAAATTCTACGTAAACGACATCTATATTAGAAAATGTTAACAACATGAGTGTATAACAGCATATGTGAATTTTGCACGAAGCACTTTCAACCTGTTTTCAACGCGTTCCTTGTTGTTTTAAAGGAGAGACAGGTACGTCGAATAAATGCAAGTTATATTTTATATAAGATATCTTTAAAAAAAATACAATTTTATACAACAATCTGTCTAATAATAAAATTAATTAAAGATACTTTCAAATTATGTCATTAAAAATTGGCTCACATCACATGCTTTATGTTATCAAGATGCTAGTATTTTGCATCTTTAAATGCATTCAAAAACAGGCTTTTTTTATAGATAATCATCAAAATGGCGATGATAACGAGTTATTGGACTTTAGATAGTCTAATGATTTTAATAACACTCGTGCTGGCCGCATATCTTTATATGACTCGCAAATTCAACTACTGGATAAAACGAGGCGTTTTCGAGATAAAACCGTTGCCATTTTTTGGCAACCTCATGAACGCTATACTTTTTAAAGAATCTCCTGGCTTCGTTTTGAGGAACTTGTACAACAAATCAAAGGGACAACGTTACATAGGTTTTTATATGCTCGACAAGCCTTGCTTGTTGATACGCGATCGAAAAATAATCAAGAACATACTAGTAAAGGATTTTAATAACTTCTGTAATCGAGTAAGCTATACTCATTCAAATGATCTCATGGGTCGCAGTACTCTCGTATTCTTGAAAAATCCAACATGGAAACTTTTAAGAAGAAAGCTAACACCAATGTTCACATCCGACAAGCTCAAGAAAATATTCGATTTGTTGATGAAATGCACTGTTAATCTAGACACATATCTCGACACATTGGGACTAGATGGTAAATACTTTGCCAAATATAAGAACAATTAATTGATTGTAAACATTGGGCTTTTTGAAGTTCGATTTCACAAATAATAAAGAAGAGAGAACGCTTAAAATATATAATCGAATAAAATAATAAGCAAGTAAAAGCCGGCGCGTTGTTGTACGAGCGTATATTAATACAATAAAAGCACGACTTTAAATTACATAAAATGTATACTTTTCGATCCTATTGTTTGGACTTTCCTTAGTAAAAATCATAATATAAAAATTAATACAGATAAAAACTGTCAAACAATATAAAATAAGTGTAGAAATTATGATTATTTACTCGTGACAATAATAATACGTTTGTAATAAGATGACTACTATTTAACGAATTAATTCACGGAATATTTACAGAAAAGAAAATAGCAATCGATGTGAAGGATATATTTGGAAATTTAATCACGGATATGATCGGTAGCACTGCTTATGGACTCAATATTGATTCAGTGAACAATCCAGAATGCGATTTTCGTAAGAGGGGGAGAGCGATATTCGAATTTAACATCTTGCGCGGTTTGGAGTTGTTTGCAATTTTCTTCTATCCTGATATATCCCATTTGTTCCATGTAAATTTTTTCGGCAGACAAAATATTCACTTTTTACGCAATGTTTTCTGGAACGCAATCAATGGTCGCATAAAGTCTGGTGAAAAACGAAACGACCTCATCGATATTCTGATTGACTTTAGGAAAAAATATGCCGGTCAAGATTTGGGGGAGTTCCGTAAGTAAAATACGGTCAATAATAATGTATGTGTGGCGCTTTTTCGTATTATGAAAGAAAGTTCTTGAATTATATTTAATTCTTGTATATACGTGACTGTTTAAGAAAAGTTTGTAAATATTTCAATAATCAAAAATTAATTATAAATTCTATCATAAAATAAATTATAAACTCAAATAGATTCCTGATTCTTTTTGGAACTTTAATCAGTTATACCAAATTGATGGGAGCTCTGCAAAGTCCAGAAGTATAAAAATCGTTTATGTCTTTATATGTGTACTATACCAGGTGTAGAAGTATGAAACCGGAATTTTTTTATACAAATAAGACGTCTGTTGTTCGAAAGTGATAAATAATACTTTATTCAAAATAATTTCCACTGTTTTGAACACATTTTTCCCACCTCTCTGGCAGTTTATGAATGCCGTGCCAAAAAAACTTTTCATCTTTTGAAGCGAACCAGTTATCTAGCCATTTTTCCACATTTTCATACGAATCGAAGCGTTGGTTAGCGAGAGCGTGTCCTAGCGATGCGAACAGGTGATAATCGGACGGAGCCAAGTCTGGAGAATAAGCCGCATGCGGTAGTAATTCCCAACTGAACGACTCGATCGTTTCCTTGACCCGTTTTGCTGTATGTGATGGGGCATTATCATGGAGCAAAATGACATTGTGTTGCCTTTTTGCATATTCTGGTCGTTTTTTAGTCAATGTTCGATTTAAATCGATCATTTGTTGTTGGTAGCGATTAGTATTGACGGTTTGACCAGGTTTCAGCAGTTCATAGTTCATAGTTCATAGTTCATAGTTCTTCGTTCCTCACGTCAAAATCACCACTTTTGAATTTTTTAAACCACTCGAAACACTGAGATTTACCAAGAGCATATTCACCGTAAGCTTCGACAAGCATTCGATGTGATTCTGCAGCAGTTTTCTTTAAATGATAACAGAAAATCAATGCTGTCCGCAAATCATAGTTAGTAGGCTCGAAACGTGACATGTTTAAGGTTATACAAAAATATACTAGAGAATGAAAGTTGGGGTTATGTTTGTTGACAATATTCGTCAGCTGTTAGGAGAATATAATAGCGCGGCAGTAGCGGTCTTACGGTCACTAAACTGAACGCTGGCACCATTTATAGGGGAATTCCGGTTTCATACTTCTACACCTGGTATATGTGCTATAAACGTTATGTACTATATATAACGTTATATATGTTATATATGTTATAATATATATTATAAACGTATATATGTTATAAACACACACATATATATATATATATATATATATATATATATATATATATATA